ACTTCCAGAAAACAGCCTAATTTTATTTCAACTAATGCAAAACGATTTGTTCTTCCTGATCCACAGAATTCACAATCATTTTATGTAGCATAAGAGAAGCATTTCCATAGTATAAAATATTTCTGTTACATGCATGAGAGGTAGTGGGACAGCAGTGGCAATCTCTGCATGAAATACAGGATATGGAAAGGAGCCATTTATCTTCTCCAGAGTGTAGTACCAATCCTCCCTATCAGAACATTGTTTACAGAATGTGCAAGCAAATACCCACACATGACTGCAAATAGTATTAATATGTTAGAGAGAATAGGTGAACTTTTTGATCTGCATATTGCATTTCATTGAAGAGACATCCTACTTCATTGTGTCTATGATCGGGCAAAGTGAAATGTGACAGTAGCTTCACATTCACTATCAAGAGACAACTAATTTCTGTTACTAAATTTTAGTTTCATTCTCTCATCTATGCGTTGTGCGTAGTAAAATTCTGACTCTTATGGATACTGTGAGGAAAAGAAAATTGGAAAGCATGTTAAATTATGTCTAATGAGAAAACTAACATTTCATGATCAGTGCAGTTTTGAGACTTGAGAATTACTTATGATTATAACTGCTATATTTAAACCTATTTTTCAAGGAAAAATAGCTAAATCTGTAAAGGCAGAAAGGCTGATTTGATATTGTTCTCTATTTTAAAATGTTTAGATCAAAATTAATTTTAATCTTTGCATTCTACAAAGAGTGAATCAACTTCTGCTACCTTTTGCAGAAGCTGAAATGGTATCTGTAAATAAGTAATTATTATGGATTAATATTGTTATTGCTAAGACCCAAATTTAACTTAATGCTTATTAAAGGCAAGGAATTTGCAGCAGGGCATGGTGTATGAAAAATAGTGCTTTACATTTTTTTATTAATTTTACAATAACTTGTAAGGCAGATTCTTCATGATTTTCTTGTCATCGCTGATCTAATTTTACTGCCAGCAGCAGATAAATAAAATATTACGATTTTAACTAGAATTATAATGCCTAATTTATAATGTCTAATTCTTTATACATTTTGAAATACCCAGAAATAGTTTGATAATTAGAGCTGAAATATGATCAAGAATAACGATAAATAACGAGGAAGCTATTGTTTATTATATGGGAAAATTGAGAAAAAAATAATGAGGAAAAGAGACAACACGGATGTATTTAAAACATCCTCTCAGAAGGGGGGAGAGTGTCCTTATTAACATAATTAAGGAAAGTGGGGTGGGGTGGTGAAATACAGCTCAGGATCAATAAAAATATTATGAATATAGATAGTCCTCAACTTACAATTATTCATTTAGTGACCATTTGAAGTTACAACAGCACTGAAAAAAGAGACTTATGACCAATTTTCACACTTAGGACTGTTGCATCATCCCCATGGCCATATGACCAAAATTTGGATGCTTGGAAATTGGTTCATGTTTATAACAGATGCAATGTCCTAGGAGTCATTTTGTGACCTTCTGACAAGCAAAGTCAATGGGGAAGCCAGATGCACTTAATAACCATGTTACTAACTTAGCAACTGCAGTGATTCACTTAACACAGTGGCAAGAAAGGCCGTAAAATTAGGCAAAACTCACTTAACAACTGTCTCACTTAGCAACAGAACATTTTGGATCAATTGTGGTTTTAAGTCAAAGACTACTTGTACCTACCTGCTTATCTTAAATAAATATTAATTAGCAGTGCAGATTAATTGCTTGCTAGGGTGCTAAAGAAGCAGGAGGAAGTGATTTCATAATTTCTGACCTTAATTTTTGAAAACTCCTGGTGATCCGGTGTGGTCTATAAACATAGTGGACACCAAACTAGATCCAGGATTTGGGGGGGGGGGGCAAAAGAGGACTTGTCAAAGAAAAGATTGAGGGAAAATATTATAGTAATCTATAAATGCCAGGAAGGTTGTCACTTGCAAATGAGAATGAACTTGTTCACTACAGAAACTGAGGGCAGGAAAAAGAATACATATACATGATGTAGCACTGAACAGCAATAATGTGATAATCACGCTTTCAGTTCAATTGAGGGAGAAAATCCGAGTTGTCCATCTGGAGACTTTTCTTAGTACTGGTACTAGTACTGCACTAATGTGAGGTTTTTTAAAATTATTATTATTATTAAGATGATGCCCATGAAGGAAAGTTTTAAACTAAACCATGTGCTTGAAGTCATGACTTGATACATTATTAAGTAAATGTGTAGTGGGTATGTCCTTATTTTCCCCCCATGAAATATATTATAAATCAAGTAAAATCAAGCTGTCAGATAGGTTGTCTTCCAAGGAGCTGTTTATGATCAAATGGATATTACTTCAACAGGATTGTTATCAGTGTCTGCTTCTTTGAATCTTTGTCAATGTCTGCTTATGTCTATCTATTAACGTCTTCTATTACCAGTGGTAACTTTTGGCATCTTTGTCTTTGCTTTTTTTCCAAGGATCAGAGTCTTCTCCAAATGATTCTTGGATTTCCACTATATGTCCAAAATATCTGAACTTTACCTTTATTATTAGCGCTTCCAGAAAGTAGCCTAATTTTATTTCACCTAGTGCTGAATTATGACTTCTTCCCATTATTCATAGAATTCACAATCATTTTATCTAGTATCACAAAAACATTTTTCTTCATTCAGCTTTTCTGACGCAGCTTTTACAGCCATGTAATAGATGCGGTCTGGTATAATTTAACATACATTCTATATTTGTGTTTCTGTCCTTGTGTGGCTTTTCTTGCAACTGAAATCTTGGTGATTTCCCCTGCCCCTCACAGCCCCCTGTTCCCAAAATAATTCAGATATTCAGATATTTCTCAGTTTTTCCTGGGGAGCAGTCATTCTTTGACCATTTTTACAGAGGATGTTCTTTTATTTCTCCTCCATCCCTCCATATAGATTGCCTCGCATGTACATACCATGTACAGATGTTATGTGGGGAGAACTTGTGACAGGCAGCAAGACAGATATTGACGAAAGGCTTATTCAGCAAATATTTAAGTGTTGCTCATTCTTTGAAATGGATGGAATCAAAAAAGGAATGAAAGCAAAACATCTGAAGACAAATTGGACTGCCACAGTATTTTGGTAAAGACGAGTGCTAGTCATGGTTAAAAATAGTTTAAAAAATCTAGACAAGGTCCAAAAGAATTTTTCTAATAACATAACAAACACATAACCACTAATATTGTAGTTCCAATGCCTGAGGGAATAACCAATTTTCCAAGGATTTCTAGAATGTGAATTGGATTGAAGTTGTTTGAATCTCAGTTGTTTGTCAGGCATGTGACAAAGAAGATATGCTTCTAAGTTTTCACCAGGTGACGATGCTTCACTGAGGGGACATGCTGCATGCCCATTCTGCCTGATTTCATGAAGAGTCTTGAACTTCCTTATAGGGTTTTAAAGGAGACTACTGGTACCTTTATATATTAAATTTATATGGCTGCCCATCTTAAAACACAACACAAAATGGCTCACAACAATAAAAACCCTAAACTATCAGCCATAAAATACAATCCAGAAATGGTACCACAGTCATCCTCTGATGGTCTTACAGAAAGTGAAAAGAGTGGGGGCCTGCTAGATAACAGGTGGAAAGGTACTCCATAAGAAAGGAGCAGTCATAGAAAAGGCACATTTCCAAATTGCCAGTGGATAGTAACATTTCAGGAAAAAGTTTTGGAATGAGTCTACCGTATTCAATCTGGCAGGCTGGTTAGATACTGCCAGAAAGAAAAGTCCCTTTAAATGGCATGCAAAATGCCATTCATGTAAAGCTCATGCAAAAGTCTATTTAACAAATGACTATGATATTAGTGATCATGATAATAATTTCTTTGTTTAGGAATGGGCACAACTAGTGTACAAGATGGATTTGTGCAAAGGCCTACTTGGACATTACTGCCATCTACTTCTTGAGCAGAAGCCCAGAAGGACCCCCAAATTCTGCATCAACTCTGAATGGGGTAATTTAGTCCTGTCTAGAGTTAATGATATTAGAGGGTCTAGATATGAGAGGGCCCAAGCTCTCTGCCACTCAATTTTGACAGGGTTCAGTCCATGACACAAAGTTAGTCTTTCTTCCCATTATACTGAAATAAAAGCCAGGTCTTAACTCCATGTGAATCAGACCATAAATAATGTAGGTGAAATCTATAGTCTCTATAAACTTCTAAGTTATTTCTAATTCTGAAGTTAATGAAGGCAGCTTGAAGCCCCCCAGAATGATGAACGTGGAGAATTCTACTGCTAGTCCACAAACAGTTTTGATGTGAAAATGGCTGCACAGCAGAGGGTCAATACAGAGGCAGAATCTTCAAATCTTCAAATTCACAAATAAATCCTCACATTTAGTAGTTATAAAGCAATGCTCCTGGAACCCTTCAGTGTTGATGACAATAGCTACATCCCATGGAGCCTCGGCCAGTGCAACAGCACAAATCAAGGTGGGAATCCCCCTTCCGGATTCATCCAGATCTTGCTAATACATGATAGTCAGTCTTCTTATTCATGATGAGGAAGGCCTTATTACAGACCAAGCTGGCTTTCAGCATCAGGCACTGAAGTGGTTCAATCAGGCATATATGCATATATTCCAAGACCTACTTATAGGTTTAATTTGTGCTTCTGTGTTAAAGCTCAAATTTCTTTTTTTAAAAACTATAACTTATGAGAAGACCTAGACTTTTGTACAAGAGCTGAAAAATTCAGTATCCAAACGAAGGAAGCATGTGGATTCTCATCTGTTTCTACCAGTATCAGTCTATTTTTGCCTTAAATCTATTTTTACAGATGCTAACGCAAAATCATTTTCTTTTCATGCCGTATGGCTGATATTAGGTTGCTGCCATGTTTTCATCTTCCTGTAGCTATTCTTTTGGAGGAGGAACTCCTTATACTGGGGCTGTCTTTCTTTTAAAACTAGTTTTCTGCAAGCTTTTTAAAGGATGTTTTTTTTTAATACTAAGGTATCCCTTTGTAATGCCCGTTGTCATCATTCCACTCATCTGTTTCTTCTGCAACTTCATCTATCAATATAGCCACTTTATGATCTCGGACTGAATTATTCTTTTTCAGCATTCTGAGTTCCTCATTATATCATATACAACATAATTCTTAATTATGGTGAGCCTAAGATATTTCTCAGGCTAAAGTGGAATAATAAATGCTATCCCATTCCCAATGTTTGAAATTTAGATGGCCTTAGAAAGAGTATTTTATGGCCCATGAAGCATTTTCAGCTGTCAGAAAAGACTGTGCTGCCCAAACCTCAATCACATGTTGACATTTCAGGTGCTTGGCAACCAACTTATATTATGGCATCTCACAGTCTCATGACCATGCTTTATGATGGATTTATTCTTTGCCAATTAGGATTTTTTTTTGTCAGTTTCCAGCAAAATTGTGAATTTTGGAGAGTAGATTTGGTTAACTGTTGTGTAATTCCCTTAATGACCACTGTAAAAACAATTGAAAAGTTGTGTCTGGTCATGTGCAAGGGTCAGATGCAAGGAACTAAGAATAACACAGTGATTTTCTAAGAGTAGTTTCTTTATTGTTGCCAGACTAAAGCACAATCTACATAACTATTAGATATACCCTGGGAAATGGTTAGGAAAGGTTCATTCAGAGTTCTCTGGCCATTCTAAGGATTCCATCTGATTTGCCTTTTAGCTCCTTTGGAAAGACCCCCTTCCTCCAGCGACTTTGCACATTCCACCATAGTGCCTAGACTTACAACAGCTATGATTTATAATTGCAATTCCAAACCCAATTGTGGTCCTGATTGTGATAAGCTGAAGACTACTTGTAGTGAATCAAGGAAAGATTCAGAGGAAGGCAATAAGAATGAACAAGGGATTTCCAGTCTTGCGCTGTAGCACCCAATCATGGGATGGCGGACCTCTGTACCCCGTGGCTAGTTTTGCCCTGCCAGGGGACCCTAAATGGGCCTCAGTCGCCTGGGAGATGCAACAAAGAAAAAAGGGTGCTCTGATAACTCTGGAATGATGCCGGTCATTTCGTTCTGTTCAGGGAAAGTGTTTTAACCTGACAGGAGAAAGGCTGGCCATACCTCACTGACCAGCCCAAGCTACTTGCAGCCAAAGTCCAAAGGCACTAACCAGCACAACAGTGAACAGCGTGCTTGTAATTGGGTGAGGAATTTGATCTTCTCTCTCCTATTTTATACTTAATTTTATGGAAAAGATCCCCAAGAAGCAAAAAGCTTCCCAAAGTGAGAAGGGGGGGGGATTGCTTCACCCTTCTATAGATTGAAGTGGCGAATTAAACCCTTATGGGGAATAAACATTACCACAGTTTGGATAAATTTGAAAGCTAAAAAAATTGTTAAAACTCTATACCTGAAAAAGCATTGATGAAATCATATATATATATATATATATATATATATATATATATATATATATGAACAAAAATAACTCTTTGTTTTAAAAAGTTGAAAAATGAACAATGACATCTGGTGGAGGATTAGAGAAAACTATAGCAGCACTGACCCAGAATTTGGCAAGACGCTTAGAAACAGTGGTGCCTTGACAATTGGAAACGTATTGAATTATAAAACCATTATATAAAGACAAGAACTGCGTAAAATTTGGCTGTTTGGATTTTAAGATGGACTGACTTGATAAAACTAATTAAAAAGATTTTGACACCAATGGAAAACTACTTAGAGGGAAGAGATAAAATGGATATTATATACCTATCTAAAAGTAATATAAAACCATACCTAACACCTTTTCCTGAAGAAACCAGTTTGGAACTTCAAAGATCTGCAGGAACAATGACTCAAGACAGTACAATTACATTCCAGGGAAAATATATACTATGCTGCGACAGATTCAAATGATAAATGTTTCAAACCATGATGAGATTAGAAATCAGTCTGACAATATAAATGAACATATCTCTAACTTAAACCTATAATTAAATGACATTGAAAAAATGACAACAAAGAATGAACAAACAAACAAATCAGACAACAGAATATAAATTAAATGAAAGTGACTTAAATAGAAAAGCTACAAATGAAGAAAACTTCAATTTAATACAAAAAAAATCTGCAAAACCTTACTATAATAAAGAAGACAAAAAAGATGCTCTATCCTCCAGGACTTCAAAACAAATCTGAGGGTAAAAAAGAAGAACAAATAACATAGATTAAAGAACTGTCAGAAGAATCATCAAAATGTGGGAGACAAAAACCTGATACCTTACTTGATTTGTCTTTTTTGTTCCCAGTAACACTTACAAAAATACAACCTGGCAAGCCAAATCTACTGATTTAGAAAGTGACTTGCCAAAAGAAAAAGATCAAAGTTGGAGTCAAGAGACGTAATTCATCTTATTAGATGGAATATTATATGACTAAGCATTTGTTTGAATACGGTTAATACACACACACACACACACACTCACACACATACATATACGTATACGTATGCGTACGCATACATCTCTCTCTCTCTCTGTGTGTGTGTGTGTGTGTGTGTGTATTCTGAGGTTTTCGCGGGTGTTTGTATGTAGGTCTTTGGTTATTTGGGTTCTCTCCCATGTCAAATTGGAAGTGTCTTGGCAACATTGCTCAGGTTAGTCTGAATTGCAGGGGGATCACCATCTCAAATCCCCCTGCAACTCAGACTAACCTGAGCACAACAAAGCCCCCACCCAAACAGAACACTCCCCCATCCAATCAGAGCACAGCTAACCCCCATCCAATCAGAGCACAGCCAAGCCTCTAACCAATCAGAACACACCTCCACCCAATCAGAACACAGCCAAGCTCCCACCCAATCAGTTCATAATCCCACTGACAGTTAAAAGGAAGAAACAGCTATGATCACACTTTGTTCCTAGAAGCATGAAGCCGAAAACACCAGCTTGAAGATGACGAATGGGACTTCGTCGAAACATCGCCAACACACTTCCAATTTTACGCAGGAGAAAACCCGAATAACCAAAAACCTACACACACACACACACACACAAACACAAAGTTTGGTTATAAAGAGGCCCTACAGAAAGATTATTAGATGGTGTATTATAGGATTAAATATTGTTGGAATATAGCCAAAAGAATAGATAAAGCTTGTAAAGGGGCCCTATAGTTAAGAGGAATAAGATATATAAGTAGTATAATTCTTTTAGAATATATGAAATGTTAAAACATTGAGAGGGTCTATTTAAATGAAAAGTTTGGATATTTAAACATAATGAATTTTGAGAAAATTATGACTGATAAGAGTGGTTTGAATATTGAGGGGAAATTAAGCTTCAACAAGAATCCTGAAAACAGGACATATAATGATTTAATAAGATGAATTTTATAAATACAATGGAAATAAGCTGATTAAAACATGTTATATGTTGATATTATTATATGCATAAATACTAAAAATGTTTATATTCAACTTGGTCTGTACTGAAAATATTAAGAATTATATTTGTTTAATGTAGACAAAAGGAGAATATTACAGGAAGAAGAGAGGATCAAGAAATATATTATCAACATATTGATTAATTGTAGAAATTAATTATCATTGATTGTTTTAAATATATGAACCCAGACAACATACTGTTCATGAAGCACTAAAGATTGTTATTATAAAAAATTAATTAAACTTTGGAATTTGTTCTTACAACATGTTGTACTGGCTACCAGCATGCTGACTTAAAAAAAAGGGGGGGGGGTTGGGCCAATTCAAGGAAGTTATAGGGGCCAGTGCTTATTAACTTTGGTGGCAGTGTGACTGCCTCTGAGGGGCATCTGCTATAGACTGGTGGGCTTTCATGTAAAGTTGGTTGGACACAGTGTGAGAACAAAATTCTAGTCTAGATGTGTCTGAGATCCAATCCAACAGGGAACTGGTTATATTGTTATCTTATCTGGCTATCTGAAGCAGAAAATGTTATATGTTCCTCCTTTGTACCTAGCTGTAAAAATATAATACTAATACCAAAGCCAACTATTTGTTATATATTATTCCATTAGTTCTGCTACTTTCACTGAATAATAGCTGAATACCATAGCAGAGCCAAGTGTGTCACCTGGACCCTGAATACTCCAGACTTGTGTTCTTGGTTCTAAGCTCTAAAGAAGGATCTCTGCCTTTCCATTTCTTCTTCAGTCATAGTATATTTAAAATATTTTATAAGTAAGTGGATGAAGGAGTATATTAAAGCTGAATATTATCAAATATAAATGAGATTTTGAGCACTAGAACACCTCATAACTTCATGGGAAAAAAAGTACATTACTGATAGGTGTTTGCAAAGCAACTGGGTTTTGGTGATGATTATGATTATGACAACTGATTGATTTGAAGAAAGTGTTCAAATTAACTGAATCTGGGAAGCAGATTCTTTCTGCATGAGAATCTTTCTATATGTTATCTGAAACAGTAAAACTTACAGAGTTTAGTTCATCTGAAAAACAAAGTGAAGCACCCATAGAATAACAGGAATATTTTTAGGAGAAGCAGCAAACCTTGTCTACGATGCTTTTCCACAGAAATGAGTCTGTATGTTGTTTGAGGCAAAATAGGTCCATGCAAAAGTCAAAGTCAATTAAATTAAATTAAGACTTTATTGTACTTGATTTGTTTTCCTGTTATTAAATTGAAAAATATAGAAATATATATTTTTGCTTAATTAATTAATTAAATTTATATATTACCCATCTTCCTAATAGGGTGATTCTGGGAAACTTACAGAACATATATCACTTATTGTATGAAGATTCAGTCCAAGATGTGAGGAAAAATATTTCTTTTCATATCTTCCATGCCTCAGAGGTTCCCTTGCAATTGGGCATTTAACATCATTTCATGCAGTATCAGTTGACCAAATGCATGCTCATCTCAAACCGAAGCAAGTGCACAGAAGCTGGTACATCATTGGGGGCTCGTCACTTACTATCTTCATTATGGGTACACCAGCCTTAGCAGTCTACGCCTATGTTGATATCAAGAAGCTTGCATGTATAGTTACAAAATATATAAATAAGATTTCAAATGCTATAGCGCTCCTAAATGAGGAGCAGGAATAGTTAGGAACAGCAGT